TCTCTAAAAAGATGTCTCCCCGGACTGATGAAGAGAGGAAACGCATGAGTCTAATTCCTTATGCCTCGGCAGTAGGATCGATCATGTATGCCATGTTATGTACTAGACCAGATATCGCTTATTCACTCAGTTTGGTAAGTAGATACCAATCTGATCATGGAGAAGAGCACTGGAAAGCGGTCAAGAATATACTTAAGTACCTTAAAAGGACTAAAGAGTTATTTTTGATATACGGTAAAAGTGACCTCCGAATGGAGGCTTTTTCCGACTCAAGCTTTCAGAGCGATATCGATGATAGTAAGTCTGTATCAGGATATGTTTTCACCCTCAATAGAGGAGCTGTCAGCTGGAAAAGTTCCAAGCAGGATACAGTAGCAGACTCGACTATGGAAGCTGAATACATTGCAGCTAATGATGCAGCTAAAGAAGCTGTCTGGATGAGGAAGTTCCTTTTAGAGCTGGAAGTTGTTCCCACCATTAAAGATCCAGTACCTTTATACTGTGATAATAATGCTGCAATAGCTCTGACAAAGGAACCCCGATCTCACCATAAGTCCAGACACATTCTGAGGAAGTATCACTTGATCAGGGAGATAGTTGATCGCCGGGAGATCAAGATTGAAAGAGTAGACACAAAAGATAATATAGCAGATCCATTCACAAAGGCAATTGCTCGTTCACAATTTGAGAAACTTGTTGAGCTATTGGGTATTAGATACTATAATTGGCCTTAGTGCAAGTGGGAGTTTGTTAGATATAGGTGCCCTGCAGGCAATTATTGTATATTGTAACAGGACCTATATGTATATAACATCCTTGTTCAAAATGATAGTATGCTATTTTGGTCAGATTTATCTGATGTTCTAAATATACAGATAATGTCCTTAGAATAAATACTAGACTATCAGACATTTCGGATAGTGATCGTAATGAAGAGATCTGATTAGTCGGTAACGTATATTCTAAAATGTTCCTAGTTGATGAAGTGTTGAGATAGGACATCATCACTTTGGTTTAGACTAGTGTATGCTTTATTTCTCCTTTTGAAGGAGATGATCAATCTCTTAGATCATTGATGTGAGACATCAAGATACAGTATACAGGTGACTCATTAGTGAATGAGTTGACTGAACGACTCGCCGAGAACATCTAGTTGGTAATATACTTAACTGTCAAATAGAAGTTCTCAAGTGATATAGTACATAGTAGTCTCTTGACCTGAGGCATGAGTGCAATATCTTATATGTCAGTAAAGATGTATTTAGACTTTTACCTAACCACAGTTCTTATTGAATTGTGCATAACGGTTCTTGTTGGGTACATCCCGAGACATAAGTAGATATTGAGATGCCAAGAAGGGATTCGTCTCTCCCAGTATAGGGGTTGATGTCATAAGATTGTTTGATATAACTATAGCCTGGAAATCCTTGGCCAAGGTGAATAAGATAAACTGAGTGTCAGTTTGATCTTATAGGTTATGAGTTTAATATCAATAAACACTAATCAAGCTATTAGGGTTTGACAGTTTGCCATACCCTAGGCTCAATAGTTTGACATGGTTTGACGAAGAGACCGGACTGTACGGTATTATCATTGAGTGGTCCTGATAAAATTGGATAAGCATCTTGCAGACCTTTATCACAACTTATACCCGGGTGGTCTTCATGTGTAGCTAGCACCTCTGTTGTACTTATGGATATGATCCACTACCGAGTTTTTTAAGTTGGGCCCTAGAGTCACACCAAGCGCGTACTTGAATCCTATGAAACACAATTTATGGAGTGATGCGTATGATTGATACGCATATATGATTTCTTCCGGATACACATAAACGGTTATGTATATCGGTAAAATCGGAATGCTATGTGCTTAGGAAATGAATTCCAGTATTTTTCCCATAAAGTTAACTTTTAGTCAACTAGTTGACTTTTTGGTCAACAGTTGACTTTTGGTCAACTCTTGATTTATTTGGTCATATAGTGACTAATTAGTTAAAGATTGGAATAATACTATATACCGTATTTATGAAATACTGTATTAGTGATAATAATTTGGTATTCTCATTTATGAAATACACATACCATGTATAATGAGTCATGAGATGAGTCACTTAGTGGTATGGTTTGAGCACATGGTTTATTAGCACATGGTTTTGAAATGTAATGATTCATAAGATGATTCATTGCATGACTCACTTGATTAATCATTAATTTTTGATGATTCATTGCATGACTCATAGGATGAGTCATTCATATCATGAACACATTTCACTCTATAAATATGAGCTCTTTTTCTTATGGAAAGGTTAATGAAAAATTGGCTAAGTGTTTTTTCCATAAGAGAATAAAAGAGAGCTCTCCTCTTACTAAACTTTAGCAATCTTTGAGTAAGAGGAAGTAGTAGGATTTTAAGAACCCCGGGGTGGATATCTTGCCTTGTGTCTTAAGAAGACTCCCATTTTATCAAGCTCACTTGAAGACTTGGAGATCCACTACAAGGAGATTTTCTACTACAAGGAGCAAGAGCTAGGGGTTATTCGATCTTCCATCGAATCACGCTACGAAAGTATGACTTTCTAACTCTTGTATGCTCACTTTATAATAAGGATCATGTTAGATTTAATTAGACGATCCACATGAATATTTCATGCTCTCTACATGCTTAGTATTTTTGTACATACATGTCTTCCGTTGTGTATTATGCATGTAGACATAGCACGATTTCCTTCAGGATCCACCAATATTTCTATCCGCCAGTCATTGGCAATTCTCAGACTCAACATGTTAGGTCCTAATTACTTAGCATTAAAGTCCTCCTTCGAGTGATAATACGAGTTGGCATTTTCATTGCTACCTGTATTCCACTCTCTTTGCTTTCAGGTTAAACCTATAAAAGTTAGGGCCAAAGCCAAATTCCTCTCTCGATTCCTTCCATGAACGAGAGGTCCACTTTTAAATCGAACAATCAAACCTTTAAAAGTTAGGATTGTTCCCAATCTCACTTAGTCAAGCCTACAAATGGTTAGGACTAAGACCGAGTCATTTTTTTTCCGATAAACGAAAGTCTGCCTTTGTTCCTTTTTCCACCAAACCTATAAAAGTTAGGGTCGAAATTGGGCTTTTTCCTCAATGAATGATGGATTCTTTTGATTCAAATGACCAATCCTATAAAAGTTAGGGTCGTTTAAACCTTTCCGATTCTCGGAGTGGAGATCCCACTCTTAGTTTCATCTTTTCGGATTCTGGGGGTGGAGATCCCACCTTGAGTTTCCTTTCCAACTGTAGATAGAATATAAAATTTTTCCTCTTTAGTACCGGGAGATAGAATATAAAATTCTTCCTCTCTCATTTTCCAGTCTGTCTTTGTTCTTAGAAAAGACACAATTCCCAACTTCCAATCCGAGTACTTCGTGCACGGGGAATTTTATCTTAACTCCTAAATAGAGATAAGTCTACGCTTAACACGCATTGCCGGTTTAGTTTTTCACCGATTGAAAAAGACACCAAGGTCTAAACTTGGGGAATTTTATCCCGAAGCCTAAGTAGGGATGAGTCAACACCTAACACATGTTGTCGGGTAGCCTATTCCCGTAACAAGGGCGAAGCCTATGTATTCGACATCATAGCACAAAGTCTCAGAGAATTCACTCTCTTAGCACAACGTTACATGCGGAACGGATTTAGACAATCCGCATGCTAGCCCGATTCAAACGGTAATCGGTAAAGGCACATCAAACCCGTTGAGGGCTGGGGGTTTGCCAAAAATCCTAAAGTCTATGTCTAATACGCATTACCGGTTTAGTCTTTCGCCGATTGAAAAAGACACCAGGGTCTAAACCTGGGGAATTTTATCCCGAAGCCTAAGAGGGGATAAGTCGTCGTCTAATACGCGGCGCGGGGTACCTTTTCCCTATAAGAAATGGTTAAGTCTATGTATTCAAAGTCATAGCATTAAGTCTAAAAAAAGTAATTCTCTTAGCGCAACGTTACATGTGAGACGGGTTTTAATAATTCACATGCTAGCCCGATTCAAACGGTAATCGGTAAAGGCATATCAAACCCGTTGATGGTTGGGGGTTTGCCAAAAATCCTGTAAATCTTATCATCGCTGGGTTCAAAATAAATAAAGAAATATCATAAAGGAATCAAATACCGAGTCTCTATTAATAGATCAGGTCAAAGCGTACAATAAAAAGATTATTAGCCCGAAGGCAGTTGGCGGCTGAGAACATGAGACTCTAAACTAGAAAGCCTATCTATATAAATCTTCTCAAGTTCTGCCTGCAGACCAGCTCGGACAGATTCTTCAGAACTACTCAAGATCTTCACGGCTTCATTCTTCAACTTCATCAATCTCTCCTGTGTAGATCCTAGCTTCTCGAGTGCCTGTCCACGAGAACGCTCTAATCCAGCCAGTTCTTCTGCAATAATAGTGACGGACTCCTCAGCGTGCTTCAAGGCCTCCTTCAACCTAGCCACTTCCTCACGGCCGGAATCCAAAGAGCTGAGTAACTCGGCTCTATCTGTATCCTTCCTCGCCACGGTAGCCATCAGCTGCGCAACTGAATGCTCATGTGACTGAAGCTCGCGGCCGATGGAAGATCTCAGGTCGCGCCACTATGCCAGCCTATGCTCCATCTGAGAGGACACGAAGGAAGAAGCCCCATTAGCCTTCAATTCCTTCAACTCTCGGATCTCCGACTCCAGAACAGTAAAATCGGCGGTGAAAGAATCGGCCAACTCTGGATACCCTTCTTCTCTGATCATCGTCATGTAGCGAGAAAAGGAACGCCTGAACTGATCGAAACAATATCCTCGATGAAGAAGTTTCTCGATCATGCCGTTAAAAAAGACGGTAAAAAGGCCGAGGTCTGTACGAAAAATGTCTTTGTCGGGATCGGTATCGGCCAAAAGGGCGCGGACACGCTCATATAGAGATGACCAAGATCCTACAAGCAACAGTGTGGAAAGCTAAGAGATTATCGAATATGATAAGAAAATTTAAAGGCAAATTCCGAGCATACCAACGCCAACGGAGGTCCCCTCGGGCTGAGGTCTGACAGGCTCCGAGATAACGGCAGGAGTAGTCATGGATGGTATATCAACCCCTGTAGGCAAATCGGTTATACCTCTCGGCTGTGGCGGGGAGACACCGCTTTTATGCAAACTATCGGTCCCAGAAACTGTAGTGGCATCAGGCACAACGGCTGGTCCTATAGTTACACTTCTTTATTAGTCAAAATGGAAATTTAGACAAATAAGGAGAATCGAGATGATAAGATTATCTGCATACCTACAAGTCCATCGTCCTCAGGTACACGGGGAATGCCAGGAGTCATAAGAGTATCGGTCCCGGTGGCTGGTCCTATGATTACACCCATCTATTAGTCAAAAAAATCAGACAAATGAAAAGGAGCACGACGTCCTAGATCGTATGTATACCTGCAAGTCCGTCACTCCGAGGTAAACTAGATATGCCGGGGATCATTACTGAATCAGTCCCAATGACTGGTACTATAATATTAATCCTCTGTTAGTTAGACAAAAGATCAGGCAAAACGAAGGGAATCAGATATATACCTGTGAATGAATCACTCTCAAAGGGTGGTCCCACGGTTCCTCTGGTGGCCTGTTCAGCCAGCATGTCGACTAATAATCCAATGTCGGGTCCTGAGAAACTTGGTGCAAAGACACACCCCTATTCCTCGAAACCTACATCAGGAAAGGCCTCATCCTCAACTGGCTTCTCTATTACGATATCTGCAGAATAATTTAAGTGTTGGATATATGTATAAGAAGATGGGGAAAGAAGGAAAAGCTCAGAGGTACCTGCAGAAGGAAGAGAAAATTCTTTTTCCCCAATATCCATGCTTGGGTTCTTCAAGTTACCTGAAAGAAAGCGAAGCACAAAAAAATAATGAATCCTGAATTCCCTAACTCTTCTAAATGCTACTCGAGGAGGGTATCATCGGAGTTAGATATACCTGAACATGGAATAGCTGGCTCAACGCTATTAACTTGCTCAGTATCAAGGTTCGCATCGACATCCATGGAATCGTTACGAATAGCGTCGCACATCTGCTGCATGAAGCTATCCATATTATCAGAACCAGGGAATACGGGATCCGGTGGAAGCTCGCCCTCGTCATAGTACCCTGGAACATAAAATATGATTACGAATCCCAGAAGGTAAACCATCTTAAAGCAATAAAGACAATAAGATATTACCTTCCTCTCCGTCGGCGATGTCTCCTAAATCCACTCCATAGGGGCGCCGACCAACGTGTGGTTTATGAGCGGTCTTCTTCTTTTTCGGAATACCAGCCCTCATAGAACCAACGGGTCGTTCGTGCACGGACTTGCCACGTGTCTCAACCTATGTAGGAGCTATGCCACTAGGCCTGGATCTCGCATAACGAGAAGCGAGTGACTCATGCTCATCGACTGCCCTACCTGGGGTGATAAGAGTCATTTCGTTAGGATAAGTGAACAAGACCTTTCGTTGATACCAATTGAAATTGAGAAAGAAGGCCAAAGAGCATGACAAACCTACATTAAGTTCTTCTTTGTCAGTATCTATATCCACATACTCCTCCTCGAAAGTCTCGTCCTCATCATCAGTAGGAAGGAGCTCTTCATCGTCCTCCATCCTGTCTCTGCTCAAGAGAGAAGGTTTGGCAGGCTTCTTCCCCTGTTTCCTAGCAAGCTCAGCCTTACGAGCAGCCATCATAGTGACTTGAACCAAGTGCTCAGACTGCAACTCTAAAAGACTCCTCACACCTATGGACTCATTGGCAGAAAGGAACCACTTGCAACTGAGGAAAGTATTCAACGGCTTACGCCTAGATGAAGGAAGAGCAAAATAGGCTCCAATGCAGCCCACCATAGTCCATAGCCATGCCCGAACGCCGTCAATAAGCCCTCCCTCAACCTTCAAACCATGGCTCGGGTTCCCAACATATAGTTGGTCGTAGCCAAACTGATGAGCGAAACGACAGGGAAGGTAAGGCTCTATGTGACAATGATTCTTCACCCGAAGAACGAGATACCCAACGCGGATGTTCACCAACCAACGGAAACAACCGACATCGAGAGAAGTCCGACCCGTTCTGGGTTTCTCCTCATCAATCAGCACGTCACCATAGCGACCCGAAAAGCGAGGAAAACACTTGAAGAACTCCCAGCTCTTACAAACTTGAAGCTCTCGTTGTACATCACTGAATGTTTTCGTGAGCCATCTGCTCTTCTCCAATAGCTGCACGAAAGGAACAGGGATATCAACAGTGCTGGGCGCCGACATCAAGTCAGGTCGATGAAGAACAAGCCACGCCATTAGATATGCATATGGAAGCTCGACCTTCACACAAATAAGCTCGGCTGACGGTTCAGAGCCCACCTGAGCAAAACCATCAACCAGATACCTAAGCCCACAATGGATGCCAGCAACCATTGCTGGGAGTAAGGAAAGCTCTCTCCCATAAGCTAGCTGGACTGCGGGGAAGAGCACCTCGAGGGGTAGAGCGTCTGAAAGCTGATATGGAACAACACATTTCTTCAACCAAAGGGCAAGATAGCCTGCTAGCAAGGCCCTGGGCTCAATGGGCTTCTGTGCACGATGAAGGAATGTCCGAAACTTGGTCCCTGCAGGAAAAGCTCCCTCAGCACTGGCAATAGTGTAAGAACAAGCCTCAGCCTTCTCCATCAACTCATTAATAGCGGTAGGTGTCAAAACATCTAATTCACGAATGGACTCGCCGGAATTACCCTCCAAGTGCTGGAACAAATAAACAGCGAACTGCTTCAAGCTGATCTGCTTCTTCCTCTTCGCTTGAGTGGTAACCTTAATCAGAGAGGTGTGATAATGGCAGGTGAGGTCCCAAAGAGTATTGTACATATCGGGAGTATCCTTCTTCAGCCACTCCAATTGCTGGTTCGAGGGAAAGTACTCCTGGTACGGACAATCTCCCATTGGGAGACCAGAAACTTGGTGCATCTCATACAAGGCCAGCCCCAACTCTCCTCTGCTAGTCAGAAATGTGTTACTATCGGGGATATATGTCTCTAGCAATGCTAAGAAGTGGCGACAACTGACCGGGAGTCCGTACATAGTGGCTCGTATAGGTGCGTACAACCCACTGCTCTTCAGATCATTCTCCCAACGTCCCAACACATAACTAGTCATGCGCATCCACCATCCTTTGGGTTGCAAGAAGGCCCAACCAAAACATCTGAAATCTGGTGGAGGTAACCTCCTCCCAAGCTGAGCCAGGCGATTCCTTACAGTAGGAGCGGCTGCTGATACCTCGCCTGGGGGTGCAGTATCAAGACCCACAATCCCTGGTCGAAGACCGCGAATATAATGATACCCAACGGAACCAGGAGTCTTATGTTGGGAGGTATATCCACAATGAACTCGATCAGCATCTTCTGTAAGATTCCAAGACATCTGTCGCTCTACGGCCTGTCCCTTTAAATGAGTGAAAGAATGCTGACGAGGAATGGAAGGAATATACAGGAGGGCTCCTTCATCATTATGCAGCCAATGCTCATCAGTAAGAATCAACCTAGCTAGATCCTCAATGTGATCTCCGAACAGAAAACTGGGCTTCTTTAAAGCCTGAGTAGAAGAAGAATCCGCAGTAAAAGGAGCATCCGTGATCAGCTGGCGTAAGCAATGACGTCCACCATCTCGTATCAAACTGCAAGATTCATCGGAACGATCTCTATCGAACTGAGGAAGCGGACCAATAGCCTGCCTGAAGGAAACCGAAGAGAAAACATCCCCACTACAACCGGTAGTAGCATGAGGAGGGAGACTGCCCGTGGGGAACTCGACTGTAACAAAACAAGGATAGAATCAAAAAATTATCCATGAATTAAATCCACTTCATAAGAGAGCGAAATAAGATCATCCGCGGGGTAATTGGAGAGACGACTTTGAGTGTCTTACATTGGAAGAACGGTATGCATCATCACGTAAATAACGTGGTAACATACACCGACCTACAAAATATAAGATGACACAAAATCGCCCCAATATACCGGAAGACTTGAATTGGCCAAGCAAAACAAGTCCAAAACCTCGACCCCCGCGAAGGAGAGTGTCGGCTCTTCCCGAATGACCCGCGAAGGGGCCAGACGAGGGTGTGACAGAACCGCGAATTTCTTGAAACCTCGACCTCCGCGAAGGAGGATGTCGGTCCTTCCCGAATGACCCGCGAAGGGGCCAAACGAGGGTGTACTGGAACCACGAATATCCTGAAACCTCGATCCCCGCGAAGGAGGATGTCGGTTCTTCCTGAATGACCCGCGAAGGGAATCAATCAGGGATATACAAAGTATAAATGCTCACCCCCAAAAAAGGACACCGCTGGAGAGGATGTCGTGGGAACCTCTCCCTCGCTATGCTGCGAAAGGGAGCGACTCCTATGGAGTCGAGGTCGACGCGGAGACATCGAGAATCTGCAATGAAAAGCAGCAAGTCAGGTACAATCTAAAATATGAATAAACGAAATTTAAAAGGAAAATTAAGAACTTGAACTAAAGTCCTATGAATAAATAGGATTTTATAGTTGAAGTCTAATTAAACCTACAAATTTCGTGCATACAAAACAATGATTGTCATTTTACGGTAAATTTTGGTGAAATACCCAAAATACCCCTCGTGTTCAAGGCTAAATTCGGGTCAAGAACACGCTCGAATTGGATCATGGTCATCATATTTGATCATCTAGCACCCCCAACATCCCACAATTTTGGTTAATTTTACAAATAAACCCTTTTGTAAAATTTAGCTAATTTTGCGAATAAACCCCTCCATAAATTTCGGTTTGGTTTTCGCGTACCTTCCTCAAAACTTTGGTCATGAGTTGGTGGTCTAAACTTTTGAAATTTCAGCCCTAAAATTTTAGCCCTTTTTGCAAATAAATCCCTCTACAACTTTTTGGGTTTCTTTTTGCAAATAAACCCCTCAAACAACATTGATTCTTTGCATACAAACACCCCTCAAGTTTGGCCAAATGGGTATGGGATTTTAACCCCAAATTTCAGTCCACCTTTACATAAGAATCTCAAATTTCAGTCCACTTTTGCACAAAAGCCCCTCAAATTCGGCCTTATTGTCGATTTTACATAAAACCCCCCCAAATCCTTGTGCATACACAACCCATCATCAAAGAGCCTATCCTCTAACTCATGAGAACAAAAAGCTATGATCTTTGCATACAAACTCGTGGCATACCCCCATTACAAGCATAAAGTTTCAATCTTTGTCAAAAATGAGAGAGTTTTGGAGGAGAAGCTTACCCAAATCAAGAGGCCTCCCTTGAGCTTGAGGATGAAGAAAAACCCTAGCTTGGAGGAGAGAATAATTTCGGCCAAAGAGGGAGCACCAAAATCCGAAATTTTGTATGGAGTTTAAGGGGTTTTAAAGAAAAGAATTTTAATGGGTTTGGAGTTCTTGAAAGAGAGAAATAATGGTGTATGGATGAAAGGAGGAAGAAGGAGTTTGAGAGGGAAAAGGATTCTCTTTTGAAAATTTGGAAAGAGGGGGAAAACAAAAGAGGAAACAAAACCAAAACAAGAAGGAAAACAAAAGAGGAAACAAAAGCAAAACAAGAAGGAAAACAAAAGAGGAAACAACAACAACAAAAAAAGGAAAGAAAA